TGGGTCTCATTGCACTGGTTCCTGTAGCTGTCCAAATTAAATTGAAGGCTACATGATGTAGGTCTACGAATGTATGAATAAATGTAAATGTAAGTGAATAAATGTAAATGTGATAGGTGAAACCAACAATGCAACACTCAATATGATATACTATTATATATATCCTTGCATCATCACTCATTTCACCAACCTGAACCTGATTAAAGATTGAAGAACACTGGTCTAAATACTAGGAAACCAACTGTCCAACCTATTATTACTATTATGTTTTTGGTCACGATGTGGGGCCCATCATAATACAGATGCCATAGATCACGACACTCTGCTCAACAGGCTGGAGAAATGTTGTTATGCTAGTCTATTTTAGATCCTATCTTTCGATTCACTACCACTTTGTTTGAGTGATTTAGGTCAAACCTAAAATAAATTTAATAGTATGGAGTGCCACAAGGCTCTGTCTTGGGGCTTATGTCATTATGATTGATTGATAATGTGACCATAATTATATACTTCATGTAGCTAAGTAATGAAATATGGTTTTACTCAGCTAAACAACAGCTTTTAACAGCACGATTAAGCAGCAGCAACAACAATAATAATCATCTGCAAACACTGTAAACTGGCCTTTTTTATATGCAGTGTAAAAAAAATACATGTTTTAAAATGAGATAGGAAACCAATTCACATGAAACCAAAGGTATACCTGTGCTTTTTGACTCCATTGCACTGGGTTTTGTCACCCTGGCTACCGTCCCCTGACTTGATGTCTCTGGGGCCACAGATGAAGCTGTGTCAATAGACACCAAACTGTTTACTGATCTGGCTCTAGAAAAACAGAGAAGGATGTAGGAAAAACATGGAGCTTCATGAGAAAAGAAGAACATTTGATAAATGTTATAAATATAAAGAAATGCATAGAATGATATGGACAGACTAGCAAGACCTATGCTTTCAAAAAGCTTTATAAGCCTCAGTAGATCATAGAGAACACCGATGCCAATGTTTTGTATGATCAAATACGATGCTTTTGGGAAATGCAACCCAGAGCTGAGAATGTGGACAATTAACATCAACAAATGGATTTGTAATACTGTTCAAATTATTTCTTGTTGTGTACATTATGTATATGGAACATATGCATTTAAGCAAACTCTACCATTGTAAAGCATATAGGATTATACGATTATGACAGTATTAGATTCTGCGGAATGATGGCATCTGTCAACAGCAAATTACTGTAAGACATACACTTACACCTTTTTCAGTTTAGTTTCATTTGAATTTAATGTGTAATTCCACTTTCTCATTCTCACAGCTCATCCTGAGATGGTTTATAATGTTGCAGGTTTCTCTGGTTTCAGCACACACTGCTATTTTAAGCGTGTTTACTGTAGTTCACAGTGTACTGAACATCTGTCTACTGACAGAGCCCTAAAAAAGGATCAGTGCTTAGCTATACAACACTCTCAGAAAAAAGGTACAACAGTACTTTTTCAAAAGTAAACTTTTGTGTCTTATTTAGCCCTAAATGTGCATAGTAGTACCTTAAAGGCACATACTGTATTTTGAAAGGGTACCATCACAGTAACAGGTTTTGCACCTTTTTTCTAAGTGTAAACCTTGCCTATAATAACAACTACATTTGCTTATAATAATTGCAAGTAAATTCTATGAATGATTACAAATAAACATCAAGTAACACATATAGTATACACAAATAGTATTTTCTTGTTAAACATACTCCAATAATCTACAACTTACACCCCTCTGGTTCTTCTCACCCCTCGATATATACTTAAATATTAATGTTTTATTGTTGGTATAATTAATTTTAATCGAATTAGATAAGACTCTGTTCATGTGTCTATCCTTGATGATGCCACACCTGAAACATTGATAACAATAATGCCAAAATTTAAGCAGAACTTCAAGCATACTAAAAACATCCCACTGGCTCAGTGACATAAAAAACACAGAGACAAACTGCACACTCAACACTTGATAAAAAAGATATCATGTAGAATACAATATATATATATATATAATCCTGTTTTGATTAAGGTTACTGTACTCTATAGTGACATCATGACAAATGCTACTGTTCTTGTCACATTTACAATCACGTGACCTATCTTTACTTTCAGCGCCAGAGGACATCGTCTGATTAAATCTACTGTCCGTAGCTTCATGTCACAGTGAAATAAGTGACATGAAAGTGAAAATATCAGCAGAGAAGAGCAGAAATGTGAATGTACCTGCTTGAATGGCCTCTGCAGGAGTTACCTTGTTGTGCGTCCTGTCTGCTGTTCCTGTATGTGAGACTGTAGCTGCGTGAAATGGAGCGCAGGAGAGAGTGTGTGTGTGTGCATACATCACAGCGCATGAGTGTGTGTGTGTGTGTGTGTGTACGCATGTGTTTGCAGAGCTCAGCATAAAGAGGATCGGAGAGCAGCTGATCAATCTACACCTGTGCTGTGATGAAAACTCACACCAACACATACAGCTATGTGCTACCTGAACTATTAATAATAATGCAATCCTTTTATACTTATCAGCATTTCTACATAGTTTCTGTAATAAATGTGATTGTTACCTCAATGGCTGTATTTCCACTGCACACTAACATCACAAGACTCAAATTACAATGTATAGACTGTGCGGACATGTGCTGTCTCCTGGCCTTGTTAAGAGATGAATAAGTAAACATGATAACTGAATATGATTAACAATTTATATTAATACAATATATTAAATTTAGATAGATAGATAGATAGATTATGAAGGGCATAATGGAACAATACTGCTCACTATACACTGAGCCGTCTTAAGAAGCTTTACTCCTCTTTAACAGAGTAAGCACCCTTCAGAAACACTCTCATTCATTTTATTGCCATTCATTATATCTATACAACTGCATAATGCAAAACAAAACTCTAGTTCTGGTGGAGCTGCCTCAAGCCCTTATTAGCACACATTTATAAGGTGTTGAACCCAATAATCACAGTCTATTCACTCTATGTAATCTAGACAAACAGTCTTCATTGTCTTCATCAAATTAAACATTTATACTTTCTTGTCAGCACAATTAGAACAGCTTAGTCTACTTGCTTAGCATAGTGCTAATTGATTACGAAATAAAAATTAGATTAGCTAGAAGATATGATAACACACTGACAAAATATGAAGGCTATATAGTTTGTCTCACAATCTCACAATAAAGTAAATTTCTGATACAGGCTATAATTCGCTATAATTTAATTACCTGATTAAACCTTTATCTTAGATTTAAACCAAGATGTCTTACATATAGCCCAGTCCTGAACTGTTTAGTGTGGATTTACAACTTGCTTTCTCTTCTGAAAATATCATAGAATACAAAAGCTCATATAATTGACTTAATTTTTATTCATAACTTGTCATTTATTTTTCTTTTATGATCCATTCCCGTGTTATTCCATACCATTCTATGATCCATTCTGCTGTTATTGAGAAAAAAAAAAAAAAATTAGTAAACCACTCCACTGGGTCTTCTGGTTTGATCACATGAACAAGAAGAGCCTATATATGTAAGAGATGAAAGATTTAGAAACGAACATAAAAATGATCTTCATTTGCATTATCATGATGTCCTAATTCCAAATATGATCAAAGATTTTGTATATGGGCATGTTGAGGCAATTTGGCTATTGGAAATATAACATTATAATTTAACTCCAAGTTATCAAACTGATCCCATCCTCCCATTGCTAAAAATGTAGGCCTAAGACAAACAAATGTTTTATGATTTATTTATCATTATGACACATACAAGGTGGGAAAGAATAAAGTAAGAAAAACAAATAATTCAAACAATAAAAGTAATGTTAAACTAAAAACGATACATACTGTATATGGACAAAGGTATTGGAACATGCCTCTTAATTACTGAATTCAAGTATTTCAATCAAACCCATTGCCACAGGTGTATAAAATCAAGTACCAAGCCACGCAGTCTGCATTACAAACATTTGTGGGGAAAAAAGGGTCGTTCTGAAGAGCACAGTAAATTCAAGCATGGTAGGATGCCACCTTTGCAATACGTCAGTTTGTGAAATTTCTTTCCTGCTAGATATCAGTCAACTGTAATGGTATTATTGAAAAGTGGAAACATTTAGGAACAGCAGCAGAAGCGGAAGGCCATGTAAAGTAACAAAGCATGTCACCGAGTGCTGAGACGCATTGTGCGTAAAAGTCACAAACAAAACAACACACATATTGATAACAGTATTGTTTGTCCTTTATTACGCACCGGTCCAAAAAATGCCGGTTCTCCACTCCCATTGGAAGAAATTGCGTTCTGTGGTGCCTAAACACGCTACTGGGGGCAGTGTGAAAACAACGGTGATCTGACGACTTTGAAAATCATGCAGTGTGAACTCGGCATAAGAGACAGATAGAAATTGTATAGAGCGGTGGGTCCCCAGGACTAGAGTTGAGAACCACTGGTGTAAAGCACGCTGCTACTGGACTCTGGAGCAGTGGAAACCTGTTTTGTGTAATGAAAAATCTCTCTTCTCTGTTTGGCAGTCTGAGGGGCAAGTCTGGGTTTGGCAGATACTAGTACAATGTTACTTGTCTGACCACATTGTGCCAACTGTAAAGTTTGGTGGAGGAGGGATAATGGTATTGGGCTGTGTTTCTGGGGTTGGGCCCCTTAGTTCCAGTGAAGATAAATCTTAATGCTTCAGCATACTGAAGACGTTTTGTGGGAACAGTTTGGGGATGGCCCTTTTCTATTCCAGCATGACTGTGCCCCAGTGAGCAAAAAAGGTCCATAAAGACACGGTTGGATGAGTTTGATGTAGAAGAACTTGACTGGCCTGCACAGAGTCCTGTCTTCAACCCCATTCAACATTTATAGCTGCAATAGGGGCACCAACTCCATATGTCTATGTATTTAGAATGCAACATCATTAAAGACCCTGTTGGTGTAACAGTCAGGTTTTATTCATATAGTGTATGTCATCTGGATGATGATGCAAAAATAGAATACTGCAGTAATTAGAAAAATAATAATACAAAAAAAATAAAAAAAATAAAATCAAACATCGTGTGACATTTTGTTGTTGATCTGTTTCTCCTTAGATAAGGTTGTTCACATAGGGTTGGGTCAGAGTCCACCTTGTCGAGTCCAAGTTGAGACCTAGTCATTAACAACTGTGTTTGAGTGGGATACGTTTAATAATGTCTTTTTATCATAATTTTATGTTCCGTCCAAGTCCACCCGAGTCCATTCATAATTGCATAATTCCTAAGTCCAAGTACCTCAACTCTGTTGTTCAGTCTAGCACAGAGAAACTGGGGAACCATAATAAACCCCAAACCCAGCATAGACGGGTTCAGTGAACGTGGTGTTGAATGTGTGTATGTGTGTGAGTGTGTGTGTGTCAGAGACGCTGTAGAAGGACAGAGTACCAGCAGACCAGTCCAGATACACACCTACTCGATTAGATGATGAAGGGGTTGATATCTCAGTGCTGTCATTATTGTGACAGACAGTGAGTCTGTTATAAAAACTGCTCAGATTCCAGGACTTTTGATTGAATCCAAACCTGCAGTCACTTCCTCCTTTCCTGCTGATATCTTTGTATGTCATTGATATTTCTGTCCCTCTCCCGCTCCATTCAGCCTCCCAGTAACAGCGTCCAGTCAGACTCTCTCCACACAGAACCTGAGGATGGTGCTCAAATCTCTCTGGATGATCAGGATATGACTGCAGCTCTTCCACATATGTTGCCTTTCTGTTTCCCTCAGACAGAATCAGATGGGTGTTTACTGTGTTTGGATCTAGTGTGAGACTACAGGCATCTGAACACACAAAGAACGAGAGAAAAAGAGAGAAACATTTGAAGAGTTCATTTAACACCACGTTTAAAAAAATGAACCGACTGCCATGTGTTATTCTCTACATGCACGTTCTGAACCCTAAACAGGTTTTGTCATAAAAGCCGGTTCTGTCCACTGTCAAGGCATTGCAAGTTCAGGTTTTACAGCAGAAATCAACAAGCGCCCTTCTCATTTGTGAACATAACATAGGCTGCTAGTCTTTACTTTAGAAAAGACTATCTATCTATCTATTACAAATGAAACATTATCTCTATGTGACTAGCAGAGTATTCATTTTGTTTGTTTGTTTAAAATAAGTGGTGATCTGCCGCTTACACGTATTGCTTTTAAAATCATGCTGAGTGCTCGTTGCTGCTGTTATCAGTGCTGGTGTTGTTGCCTAATCCTAACCCCTCCCCCATACCTACTCCTAAACCTAATTATTACTTAATCAAAACAACCCATCTGCAGTTTGATTGATATTACTTTGGTATGTACAAAACAAAAAAAAAACATGATTTATGAAAATTTACAAAAACAGAGTTATCTGTTTTTGGAAATAAAAAAACAGATAACTCTTCATTTATAACAAATAAACAAACAACCAAATAAATATAAATAAATACATTTATGAGTTTGTGTTTGTATGTAGACCTACATTTTTGCAGTCCTGCTCTAATCCTAAAATCTCCTCCATGATCCACACTATAAACACAAAAATACACATACATTATAAAACCTAATCCTAACCCCTCCCCCATACCTACTCCTAAACCTACCAATACTAGGGGGTGCATAATCTGGCAGGGTGCAGAATTTGGCACAACACCTGTTGCCCAGTGCTTCGTACACAGACAAGTGCTTCAATCTATTGCTAACTGTTGTGGAGACTCTCTATTCATTTAGGTGAAATCACAAAATAAAATGCACACAAACCATCACTGATGAACACATTTGGTTTTAATGAGGGGAAAAAAATATACGAGTGCGGATTAGAACCCCAAGTATGGCTATTTTAGCAATTACAAAGTATAAAATGTTGCATATTGCTGATACACAAAACACACACATTTTTACATACTTTTAACTCTTTCCCCACCAGTATAAAAAAAATCTAATTTGCCAGCCACAGCCAGCCATTTTTTTATCATGTTTACAAAAGAAAAAAATTATATCTAAACATGCAATATGTCAAAAGAAAGAACAGAGCCTCTGCTTTTAAACAAGAAAAAACACAAACTGTTTAACTCTGGCTTCATGTATTATTTTGTTTTATCAACATGTGAATGTGGGTAAGTTCCATGTTTTTTTCAAATCGATTACATTTTATCACATTTCAAGGGACCATGTTGCATGTATGAGCAGCAACTGCCAGCTGTGTGGAACTGCTACTAAAATCAAATGCTTTCATTGCATTTGAACAGTCAAATACACACAGAATTATATCAAAATGCCCCTTTTGCCAAATATTCACATTAACACTTTGGCTATGTCTTAAGTGAATATAAACATGTGCATTAGGTCTTAAAGTGACAGCAGCCTAATATACCTGCCGCTGTCTGTGTTATTAATGTTAATCAAAACAACAAATGAAAAAGAGAGAATCACTATTCTTGACTGAATAACTTAATAATTATTGTGAAACTTCGCTGGCATCTAAAGTTACAGCCTTACAATAAAAACCTTATTCCTAGCTAAAAATAACTATATCACAACATATTTTGTTTACGTGAAAATAAAAATTATTCATATTGTGAATAAGATTTTGGTCATATCACCCACCTCAATGAATGTACTTAAAAAGTACAGAATCAAATAAAAAATTGAAATTGAAACAAATCTTTTTGTCAATCGTATTGTTCTGAATTTGCAAAAATTGTCCCTGAATCGAACAGAAAACCAATGAATCGTGAAGTGAATCGATTCACTGTGTACCTAAAGATTCAAACCCTTAATCTGACCAATTTATAAAGTGGTCTGTGGTATGGTTCCTTGTTGGTATAATTTGTTACATTTATATAGCTTTCTAGACACTCAAAGTGCTTTACTGTGAGGGGGATCACCTCATCCACCACCAGTGTGCAGCATCCACCTAAACGATGCGGTGGCAGCCATAGTGCGCCAGATTGCCAACCATACACCAGCTTATTCGTGGAGAGGAGAGCAATGCAGCCAATCGGTAAATATGGGGATGATTAGGAGGCCATGATGGCCAGAGGCCAATGGGCAAATCTGGCCAGGATGTCGATGTTACACCTCTACTCTTTTCAAAATACTTCCTGGGATTTTTTATGACCACAGAGAGTCAGTACCTCGGTTTAACGTCTCATCTGAAGGATGGTGCTTTTTGACAGTATAGCGTCCCTGTCACTATTGGGTGTTAGGACCCACACAGAGCACAGGCTGAGCACCCCCTGCTGGTTTCACTAGCACCTCTTCCAGGAGCAACTTGGTTTTCCCAGAAGGTCTCCCATCCAGGTACTGACCAGGCTCAACCCTGCTTAGCTTCAGTTGGCGACCAGGCAAGAGCTGAAGAGTGATAGCTGCTGGCAAACATGAATGCAATTTTTTTCCAAATCACAAAAGTGAGCTGCTATTGATGACATATACTTTGCATATTTGCTCTCTATGTGTCATTTTGGTAGTAAATCCAATGCATGAATAAAACAATGAAACTGGCATCCTCTTGTCCTGAGTTAGTCATAGTCGTAAACATCTCCTGCTCATGGTGGAACTCACATAATGATGCGTATATACTTTGATTCAAACCCAAAATGTGAAAAGAGATCAGCAACAGAGAGGCGATCACATTAATTTTGAAAATATATAAAACACATACTTGAGTGTCTGCAGTGAGCAGTTAGGATCGTTCAGTTTGTCACTGAGGAGCTGGACTCCTGATTGTCCTGGGTGGCTGGCAAACATGAATGCAATTTTTTTCCAAATCACAAAAGTGAGCTGCTATTGATGACATATACTTTGCATATTTGCTCTCTATGTGTCATTTTGGTAGTAAATCCAATGCATGAATAAAACAATGAAACTGGCATCCTCTTGTCCTGAGTTAGTCATAGTCGTAAACATCTCCTGCTCATGGTGGAACTCACATAATGATGCGTATATACTTTGATTCAAACCCAAAATGTGAAAAGAGATCAGCAACAGAGAGGCGATCACATTAATTTTGAAAATATATAAAACACATACTTGAGTGTCTGCAGTGAGCAGTTAGGATCGTTCAGTTTGTCACTGAGTGGATGGACTCCTGATTGTCCTGGGTGATTGTAGCTCAGATCCAGCTCTCTCAGGTGTGAGGGGTTTGAACTCAGAGCTGAAGACACAAAACCACAGCCTTCCTCTGTCACCATACAGCCAGACAACCTACACACACACACACACACACACACATATACACATGCGCACACATGTGTTATCTAAAAGACAATATTGTTGATTTAAATTCCTTTTGTTTTTACACTAATGTAACCTCAGCTTAACTTTCTGTTTTCCCAATAATTTTTCAAAAACAGCTAAGTCCATCATCACCAATTCTTATGTAAATTTTACGAATTAGTAACAAAGGCTTGTACACATTTACAATTATTAACAGAATATCTTGAATCCATGGCATAAGAAATAGTTCCGGATACAAAATATTTTTCTGGACACTTCTTGCTTTTTCTAATTTATTTACAGCCATAGCAAGCAGTGTACAAAATACTCCACATAATTACCTTAATATTTCTAGCTGACAGTTTGGATTCTTCAGTCCATCAGAGAGAATCTTCACTCCTGAATCCTGTAGGTCATTATTAGTCAGGTCCAGCTCTTTTAGGACAGAGTTCGAGGATTGTTGAGCTGATGATAAATTCTCACAACACTGATCAGTGAGATTACAGCCAGCGAGTCTACACAACAAGGAACAAATTATGCAGATGTCCAGTTAGTCATAGTGCTATGTCCTAAAAGGTCCATAGGTTTCATTTAGTTTCATGCTTTAGGATATACTGAATTAAGAATGGTGTTATGGTATAGCATGTACTTAACTATATTTCTTATTATATTTCTTTATTTCTTGACATTTAGTTGGCTATTAATTCATTCATTTGAAATGTTGTCATCTAAGGCAAATATTACTTAATTTTGCAAGATAATATACTCACAGAGCTTTTGTGCAGTTGCTCACAGCTGGTATCAATCTTCTTCTACCCTCATCTGATGTGTTGTATCTCTTCAGATCAAACTCATCCAGCGGCTCCTCTGACATCTGAAGCATGTAGGCAATTGTTGAGCATTGAGCAGGAGAGAGCTTCTTCTCTGAGTGTTTGTCTGATTTCACAAACTCCTGAATCTCTCTGGACAGACTCTGATCTTTCACTTCCAGCAGGCAGAGGAACAGATTGATGGATCTTTCAGTGGAGAGTCCATGTCCATCTTTGATCTTCTCTTTAATGCACTGTGAAGTTCTCCTGATGCTCTCTGAGCTGTTCTCTGTGTGTGTCAGTAGATCCTGTAAGAGTCTCTGATTGGACTCCAGTGAGATGCCCAGCAGGAACCGCAAGAACAGATCCAGACGTCCATTCTCACTCCCAATGGCTTTATCTATTGCTCCTTGATGCAGATTATGCATTGAATCAAAAACCATAAGAGTCTCTGTTGTACTGTGTATATAGCAGTAAAACAAAGTGGATGTACATTTCAGTCAGAGTTTGGGGGATTTCTGCACTCAGATCTTCTTTCAGGAGCTTCTGAAGCACAGTTGAAGAGATCCAGCAGAAGACGGGGATGTGGCACATGATGTGGAGGCTTCTTGCTCTTCTGATGTGTGAGATGATCCTGTTGGCTTGATGCTGGTCACTGATTCTCTTCCTGAAATATTCCTCCCTCTGAGGCTCATTGAAGCCCTGAATTTCTGTCAGACGGTTGATGTATTTGGAGGGGATCTGATTGGCTGCTGCTGGTCTGGAGGTGATCCAGATGAGAGCAGAGGGAAGCAGCTCTCCTTTCATGAGCTTTGACATCAACACAGCCACTGATGAAGTCTCAGTCACATCACAAACTTTCTGAGTGTCTGCAAACATCAGTGTGATTCTGCTTTCATCCAGACCATCAAAGATAAACACAATTTTACACTCCTCATAAGTCTTTGAGTCCAGATCTTGAAGTTCAGGATGAAAGTCCAGCAGAAGTCTTTGAAGACTATATTGATGATCTTGAATCAAGTTCAGCTCTCGAAAAGGAAGCAAAAACATGAAATCTACATCCTGATTGGCTTTTCCCTCGGCCCAGTCCAGAATGAACTTCTGCACAGAGATGGTTTTTCCGATTCCAGCGATGCCTTTAGTAAGAACAGTCTTGGTTTGGTCTTTCTCCTCACATCCGGGTTCAGGTGAGGCTTTAAAGATGTCATTGCAGTAGATGGAAGTGTCTTGTGCGAGTTGTGCTCTGGCTGTTTTCTCCATCTGTAAAACCTCATGTTCTTCATTCACTCCATCACGCTCTCCTTCTATGATGTAAAGCTGTGTGTAGATCCTGTTGAGGAAGGTTTCATTCTCTTTGAGCTTGATTCCCTCAAATAAGCTCTCGTATTTGTTCTTCATGCTGGTTTTATGCTTTTCTTTGACTCTTTTCAGGTCTTCAGTCTCCACCTGTAGGGCTGCTGGTGTGTAACAGACTCCGTGCATCTGTAGAACAGGACGTGTTCTAGATTTCTTTCTGCACAGAGGACAGTCAAAGTCCTCTGCTAGTCTTGACTGATCCCAGTAGAAACTGATGCAATGTCTGCAGAAAATGTGTCCACACGTGATAGAGACCGGATCTCTTAGAACCTGCTCACAAGCTCCACATCTGGACTGATCCTGGATCAGATCATCCATCTTTTCACTAAAGAAATTGGTTTTTAATAACACATAAAAGTTTGCCAACGGTGTACAGTATAAATATTAAAGCATTATATTGCAGTTTTCAGCATTATGTAATTATTTCAGCAGAGAGAGAGAGGAAAAAAACTTTTAAGAACAAATTTTCTGGTCAAGTTAATGTGAAATGGCAACTTATCAAAGTAGATGTGACCAAAATGTAATCAAGATGAAAGTTGAGAAGTTTTGTTTTGCAGCAAATGTATTCAACTTTTCACCTGCCACAGAACTTCACAACTGTTGCACAACTGTACAAAATCTAATGCCCCCCACACATTACAAGATTGTATCCCTGTTTTACTGATAAATTAAACTCAAGAAGTCTGTGAAGACTGTACTGATCTCGAATCAAGATCAGCTCTCAAAATGGAAACACACACGAAGAACATGTTAATGAAGAATGCAGACAAAAGTCCAAAATTTTATGCAAATCAGTGTTCGTTGACTTGAATGACTATCTCTATGTTTGAATTATCAAAGACGCAAACTGAGAGATGCCCACAAATGCCCAAGAGATATTTAGCAGAAGTGTTACCAGGGTTGTGGTTTCCCTGCACAATTAGACCATTTAAAAAATGCAGTCATGGGAAAAATTACAGATCCACGGTTTGCGGTTTTGGCCTACTTATATAATGTACCGCTGCAGACAAAAGTTTATCTGTAAACAAAGAAAAATTAAAAAACATCCTTTTACTAATGTGTGTTGATCCCTGGGATGACTACCTGGCAACATAAGAACCACTGAAAGAGCAAGTGAAGGTGAGATGGTTTAAGAATGGTTTGAGAGACTGACAACACCCCCCACCC